CTCGCGACTCCAGCCCAAATCCAAATGCATCTCTCGCTCTAGCGACAGACCTCGACACCTCTCTCGCGCAGATGCAAAACCCAAACGAAACCATGCGCGAACTCAACGAGTCAAATATCTTGCTTGCCGCTGGTATACGGGTTTCTGCTTTGAATGCATCCTTGCGGCGCGCGAAGGAAGCGATGAGGTCGGGCCGGACGAACGTGTGCACGACAAACCTCACGCTGAAGCACCTGAATGAGCGCGCCGCTGATCAGGTGTTACGCGCTCATGAGGCACGCGCCGGGTTGGAGTGCGTTCGGGGAGCAGCAGGGGCTCAGCAACTCGTGTGGTTTAAGGGGGAAATTACAGCTATGGTCGCGACTGAGGAGGGAAAGCTGGCCGATCTGGAACGAGAGATGGAGGCTTGCGTAAGCGCTCGCGACACATCCCTCGAGCGTATTGCTCGTATCACGCAAATCCTGCGCGACTGTGCGGCCAGGCTTGACGAAGTAGTCCCCACTTCTAGGAGGATGTAGCCCGACATGACTGTGTTTCAGACCTTACCTCTAATTGCCTGTACCAGTTTGCGTACATTTAGCGAGTAAGGGACCATAGTCAAGTCACAAGCGCAGTAACGAATGTGTGTGTATTGCATACCAGAGAATAGATAAAGCTGCAGAAGATAACCAGACCAGAAGATGCATCAAATGTAGTGCGGTCACACTAGTCCTGGGGTGCACGATCAAATCAGCGCATCGCAATGTTACGCGCCATACGCAGGAGGAAGCAGTGCCTCGCTCTCGCCCTCCTTGGCTGTTTGAGCCTCCTCCTTTGACAACGCGCGTTTCGATAACATTCTGCGCCGCTGGAGACGCCGCCGCACCCCGAGGATGCACACCATCGCCCCGCACCAAACGAGCACAAGTAGAACGAGGTTGAGCACGACGCTGAGGGATAGCGCGAGTCGCATGAACCGAACAGTCTCGGCGTCCGCGACGTAGTGTCCACCTGCGGGCGGACTACTGGACTGATCATGCACATAGTCCGGTAGGGCAGGAGCTGCTGGCGCATGATGATGATTGTGATGATGGGGAGGAGCCACGAGAAGCGTGGGAGCGTAGGCCGCTGTGGATACTGATGCGGTCGGGACAGGGACGTACCTACATGCGCAAATTGAGAGTGGCAAGTGAGCATAACGAGTGATGTGAAGGGAAAAAAGAAACGGAATTGAGATGAAGGTGATGAACGGAGGGGTAGGTCAGAGCGGGAACGCCGACACAGGCAGGTAAATGGCATATCAAATTTTCAAATTGGCAGGTATTTGGTGTGGCGAGTCATGCGACAAGGGCAGAAGCGAAGAAGAAATCACTCACTTGAACCCGTCCACACCAAGCGCTTTACCGCAGTCCATATTCTTGATGACGATTGTGTGCGTGTTGTTGTTGTTCTCAGAAGTGTCTAACGGAAACTCATGATGGAAAGGCACGCGGAATGGGACGTGCTTGGGCCAGTGCGAGCTTAGCTCATACTCCACGTCAGGATCCCCAGAGATGCTGTAGCCGCTGAATAAGCTGACACTGAAACGACCATGGTCATCGTTGTAGTCGCTGATGAAAAAAACTTCGGTGCCTGCAATTAAATGACGAATCAGTTGTCTGGCCCAGTAGGATGTTCACAGCCGGCGCCGCGGTAACGGAAGACGAGCCGCATGTTTCTTATCCGCGTTTAAGAATAGCCCAAGAACTGACCTTCGAATGTGAACGATACGGTGGCACCGCAGTTATAAGTCAGATGATAAGAGGAGCCGGTGTACCACTCCGGGCGGCCAACGACGTGCTTCCAGCCTTCGCTGTACCAAACTAAAGACCACGGGGTCGGATTTGCGCCAGTTTTCATTTGTAGAGTATCGAATGGGCGCAGGGTGACGTTCAAATGGCAATGGTATTGGCGCGTCGAGAATTAATCGGAAACGAGAATGAGTTACGAGATATGAAGTGCGCATACGACGAACCACTGTTATCGCTATCGTCCACGACGATAGCATTGGGTGGTGCGATCCAGGCAGGCGGGAAAGGAGTGCGTGTCATGGCAGTGGGAGGAAGAGCTGCGCACGGAGTCAAATTTGTTGCCGTGGTTGAGATAGCTGTGCTGACTGGCACCTTCTAGTCGAGGGAAGTAACGGGCATTCGTGACATATATCTCTGTCAAAAGGGCACAATGTAGGTCAATGCATGGGCAAGTTGGAAGGTTCCTGACATACACCTCGCGCCTCGGGGATGTTGAAATGTCAGCATTTGGTTTCGCTGGACACTCAATTCGCTCAGCTTTCAAATAACGAGACTCTATTTGATAGTGATTCTACATTGATCGCTTGCATTCATCGTGGAACTACTGCATTACAGGTGCTTCGTCGCACAGACCCGTCGATCCGCAGGCTCCAGCCAGTTGATCTGCTTAGCACGCGAACTCATCATGTTTAATCCGAAGCTGAGCTCTATAAGCACCAAGCAAAAATGAGCGATGTGAAAGAGACGCACCAGCTTCCGTCGACTATCATGAGTAGACTGGTGGAGCAACAGATTGCACATCGCGCGGGTCCGGGACCATCCTGTCCAGCGAGTGGAACAGCGCCTGAGGGCTGATACCCGCGCGCATAGCCGCTCGAATAATGTCCCCCTCCTGAGTATCATTATCACCGGAAACTGCGCTGCTCCCGATATGTGACATGGTGATAGTACTGCTCTCTGGGCGGTCATCCGGTGTGGGTAGAATACGTCTCTTGCTTGAGTGAAGTAAGCTTGACTTGGTAGTAGTTGTATTGGCATATGTTGTGTTTTGAAATGGAGAGGGATGAGGCAACACAGGTGATATAGGCGGTGGCGAAGGCCGGGCACTCCTTCGCTTAAGTCGGAGATACCAGAACATGACTGCAAACAAGATTCCAGCGACGATTGCTACTGGAATCAAAACGGCAGCAAGCGGAAATTTACGAGAATTTTCTGCTTCGGTCGTCGCTGATGTGGGATTAGACTGCAGGGATGTAATGGTTGCCGCGATGGCGCTAGGTCCGCCAGTCGCTGCCGTGATCGAACTAGTTTGAATATTTGTTGTGAATGTAGTAGACTGGGTGGTGGTGGTGTATTGAGAGCCGGTTTGAGACTCCTGTGCTCCCGTCGTCGTGTGAATAGCTGAAGTGACAGTCGGTGTGGATGATCCGGGGGCAGCTTCGCCGTGGCCATAGGTAATGTTGAAAACGAACAAACCATCGGAACCCGCGCCTGGAACCATCCATATCGTGCGTATTGCACCCTCTGGAATGTCTCCTTTTGGTTCTTCGTTACCGAGGATGTCGGTGCGGAACCAATCCCGATGCAAAGCAACTGAGCATCCAACGGGCGAGGGGACAACCGGTTCGGAGCTGTCGGGCAGAGCAAAGTCCATCTGCTTCCCCGCGCGCTCAATACCATGCTCGCCCACCCAGTCCACATACGCAACTAGGGAGCTCTGCCTTGATGGTCCACGGTCCACGGCCACAAACATGGTGAAGTCACCATCGTCTGACACGAGGTTAGCAATTGCGATGTCGCGCGATATAGCAGGGTGCAAACCTGAAGCAAGCATTACAGACGCGTTTGGCGCGTGAAATGTGCCTAGATATCGCGTATAAACGACCGCACCGTCCCTGCCAGTCATTGTTGAAGCCTGGTTCGGGCATTTCTTCTGCAAGAGTGGGTCTGACCGCGAAAGATGCTTGATTTGCTCTTCGGAGTCTCCTGAAAGCGTCCAAACGGTGCCAGCATCGTCTGATACAGTCAGCTGCGCCCGTGGTGCTAGTAATCGACGTGATGAGAGCAAGGATGCGGGATGTGACCACGTTTGAGAAATGAGGGAAAGGAATGTGGCCAAGAGAAAAGACAGTGAGGTGTAGTCCGAGTTACGCCGCATCTGCGCGAGAAGCGAGAGGGAGGAGTTGAATGAGGGGAGAGATTCACGGACGGCGTGTAAATGCTTCCGTCCGGGCTAGCGACGCCGGGATTGGTTAAGACCCTGTCGGCTCGACGAGGCTATCAAATCACCGACGACGAAACAAACTGCATGGGCATACTCCCGCGAATGGAGAGTGCCTTGTCATTTCGGGATCACTTGCTCCCTAAACAGGTTATGGTACTGCGGTGTGTTGAGTTCGACGGCCAGCCGTTGACCATCATACATTGAAACCCCATGATTCTTGAGGAGCCGTCAAATACCCCAAGAGAGTGAACGCAGCGCGCAATGTATGCCGGCCATCAAGCAAAGCTGCAGTACGCCTTGTCTGGGATATTGCAGATATATCGCCATGATCGGAATGGCACATGAAAAATTTCGCGGGGGACAGGAGCGTGAGATACTATCTGCTAACCGATTTGCTGTCAATCTGCACAGCCGTCCGATGTCATACGGGAAAAGCTTGCCGTGAAACCCCATCCGAAGAGACGTGGGATCAGATAATAATGGCTGTCCTGCGGGTCGTCAGATTATGTCGGCCTGCTCTTGGGAAGGAAGATAGCTAATGCGGTTTCGGACTGTGTTTTTCCGCCGTATACATACGGCCTTGTCGCACCATGCATTCGCCGGTTCACCTAAAGGAAGAGTAAATTGTTAAATAATCCGAGAAACTCGCTGTCGAGGGGTTTCAGTACGAGCAAAAACATGGATATAACCGTCTTTCACAGCCAGCATAATTAAAAGTACAACCTGTAACTGTTGCCCACATTAGCTCATAGATGAGGATAATAACTAGTATATTTCTGGGAACTAATCTGAGGCAAAAAACAGCCAATATTCTGCTGATCACTGCCTAAGCCGGCAGTGAATTGCCACTCACAACCTATACAGGCAGGGATTGGCCATTTATTGGTTGTTTCTTGCCTCAGATTAGTTCCCAGAAATATACTAGTTATTATCCTCATCTATGAACTAATGTGGGCAACAGTTACAGGTTGTACTTTTAATTATGCTGGCTGTGTTTGTGTTCATAATGGTTCCGCCCGGTCTCGAACCGGGGACCTCTCGTGCACGCCGATATTGGTGTGAGACGAACGTGATAACCACTACACCACGAAACCAATTACTAAGCGCCGGTGAATCCGTGCCTGAGCGTAGGTGAACTAAAAGGCACGATTGAACTTGTTCTCGATTTGCTTGTTAATGTCGATCATCAGTGCTCATAGCTGCATTTAGGGACGATCTGATTGAGTATTTGAAACTCAAGGGTTGAGCGGTAGCACCGGAGAGGCAGGTCATTAATGCAGTGCCACAACAACGCCTCATCCACATCTTGACCACCATTTTTTGGCTCATAAATACACTAATTTGGGCTCGTTACATCCCCCAAAATGACATCTGCGCTGTCCTGATTAATGGCCCTGGTGAGCTCTCGAGAAATTCACAGTCGTCCGCGTACGGTTTCCAATTGTCCGCATCACGCGCCCGCTCGCTCAAGTGACCGACTCTATGCGTGCCGCCGGTTTTTCGCTTACCTCAGGGGGTGGCCGTTCATCACGACTAATCTCGGGCCAATGAACATGTGTGTAATACCACATTGACCTCCAGCCCGCCTGTGACTGCTTTCCCATGTTAGAGTGGCTTGACATTGTGCCCCGCATGTCTGCACCAGTTTATCAGCCCTGCTCGTGTTTGGGCGTCCGCGTTTTGGAACTTATTTTGTCAGAAGCTCGAGGAGCCAGATCGTGTTCATTATGTAGTTTATTGGAACATTTGAGCCATCCTTATCTTTGTGGGGTTTTGGCCGGGACTTTGGAAAGAGCGAGCGTCCTTCGTCTATGACCCGTGCATGGATAGTCGACAGGCTATTGGGCGGCGAAGTAGCCCGTCCTCCAGTCTCCGTTCTATTTTCTTTTAGTCTTCACTCAATAGTCGCGTGTTTGCACCCATTTTGCCTATACACCGACGTCTCTTGCCTGGATCTGGGAGGTGTTGCTCTTGAGGCGTACTTACCTTGAACATAGACCAGTGTCGCACGCTGTACGAGAGCTCGGATATTATATCTCATTGTAGCAGAGTGGGTTCCACAAAGGAAGGATATGTGGTGTCGTTGTGGACATCTGAAGCTCATCGCAGCAGGTGACAGGTCCCCTTTGCTAGATGCTATTGGTATCGGTCGTAATCTGAGAACTGTGGAGGTCACGATGGCCTTGGGTGTCGACAATGGAGCATGCGTGGTGGTGTTTGGGCTGCAATGTCGCCTATTCGCTAGCAAGTGGGATTTCTCTCTGCTATTTCAAATTTTATAACGAATGAGGCGGTGACGTCGCTGAGCAAGTCGCGGGGGCTGACCGATGATCATGTCGCGTGGCGGCGCAGCCCGTCTTCCGGACTCTGTGTGCTCTTCTTTCTTTTCCTCTCTCGTTCGACGCGTGCCCGTTGCGTGCGCATAGCTCTCTCTCTCTCTCTCTCTTTGTATACGCTCGCTGCACGCCTCGACTTGAATCATTACGACTGCCTTCAACTCGATAAACGACCTACGACACAGTTGGCGCACACGACATGTCTGACCGCGCCCGACCACCTCGCGCTCGACCGCCGTCCTCGTTCTACCTGGACGACACTCATCCAGCGCACCAAGTCTACGCTTCAGGCGCATACGAGCTTCAGCAGGACCAGAGCCCCGAGGACAGCGGTCACGGTCATGAATACCAGGTATGCCCTTATCTTTATTTCATTTCCGCCGTCACGATTGTACTCGCGGCGCGGTCGTTGCGCGGGGCGTTTCGACGCTTCTCGGGCGACCCGGGCGGCGAACGTGTGTGTGCCCGTTTCTTCACCGCGCGTTAGCGTTATCATCGCTCCCGATTAGCTTTCAAATCTCGTTCCCGGCCCGCAGTACCCAGTCTTTTTTTGTTTTTTTGTTTTTCACCTTGGTCACAATCTCACAGACGTGCCCGCACTGGCTGCGCGTCTGGTCGAGACTGCCAAGCACTCGTCAGCGACGACTTGAGAGGAGTGCGCACAGCTATTGCACTGCGTGATCACGTTAACCTACCCCTGTCACCCTCACCGTCACCTCAACATAACTTTGTTCTCGGCACGCTTTTTTTTTTTGCGCGGACCCGTCAATGTGTCGTGGTGTCGGTGTCGCGGCAACGTCGTCGTTGTCATGCCCATACCCGCCGTGTAGAGATGGTCGCGCGCTTCGCACGCGTCATGACCTGACGCACTCCGCCGTCTCCCGCGTTCTTCTATTGCTTCTATAATTTTCGTGTTTTTCGAGATAAGAATGCTCGCGCTAGTCTCTCTGCGTTCTATCAAGCTATTCCGTCCCCATATCATGCATGACGACGTTTGCTCTCCGCTTCCGACTCGCCTATCTATTCTGCAGCCCGCACGTAGTAGACGTGTCTCATTCGCGAGCGATGTCGACACGCTACGGAGCAGTCACGTACGTACGTCGGGCCTATTCTTCTTGTTGCGCATCACCGTCTTTTGCCCCGTCCGCCATAGTTTTGCGGTCGCCGCATGCAACTGCCGTTCCATTCCCGCTCCCATTGAGTTCTCTTAGCGCGCTCGTTGTCGGTCGAGCTCCAAGCAGCGATAGCAGACCAACGTCGGTCACGGCCATAACTTCCTCTAATCTGTGCCGTCCGTCCGTCGCCCAGTTCGCCGCTCGCCATTGTTTGAATATGCGCACCCCCTTCTCTTTTCCTACGGCCGGGCATGCTCTTGTACCCCCGTTTCACTTCAAGTCACCTGTCGGTATGCGATGCCCTCGAACGTTCTGTGTCGGTCACCAGTCGTTCGGCCACTTGACCGTATCCACGGCCACAACTGCTTTTCTTCACCACTTTCACGCCGAAGCTTATATTTCTCGCGCATTTTATCGTAAATTGGCCATTGCCCTCCACTCGTCTTTGGTACTCACTTCTGTCGTGCACTTCGCTTGCGGTCGGGACCTTGGCGCCTCATGATCTTCTTTCCTACGTATCTCGCTACTAGCCAGCGATGCGTCGTTGAACTCTGGGCAATTGCTGTGTACCGTGCGTACCGCACCGCTCGTACCTTGATTGGCCACGCCAGGACGTGAATTTAGATGGAACGACGTATCTTGCAACCCTATAAGAAAAGTCTTTGCATGACGTGCTCCCGCATTCCTTCCCTTCCCGTCTTCCCGCAAGGTGCAACAAGCGAGCTGACCACTGTCACAGTCTCAGTCCCAGTCGAGCCGTGGCAAGAACCTCCCACCGGCACCGGGCTCGCCGGGTGACGGGCCGTTCGAGGACCACCAAGGTACGCTCCCGTTTGAATCTGGCGATCCTGTAGGCTGATCATTCGGCAGCGGCATACGCCGGTGCGCCGGGCAACAGCTCGCCGCGGAGCTCGTACAGCGACGAAGCGAATACACCGCAGCAGCAGTTGCATCTGCGCCAGGTTGCGGGTGCGCGGGAGCCTCGCGTAGAGGGTGCGTCTTTCTTATCTTTTCCCCTCTCGAAGTGGAAATGTTGACATGTTCTGAGCAGGCTCGTCGCTGCACCCGGGCTATGCGGGCTCGGTCCAGGGCGTGCAAGGCGCCATGCCCACGCCGAACCACCAGTACAACCAGAGCATGGTGGCTCCGAGTGATCGCGAGTCGTTCTTTGCGCCGCCACAGATGCCGTGGATGCGCGGCGAGGGGTACGTCACGCCCAAGTTGCTCCCTCTAGCTCATCGCCGACTGACCTTTCCTATGTCCTTCCTTCCTGCCCTCTCTACTGCACTTGTACCCGACAGCAGCTCGCAAGGCGGCCATAGCGCACCGCCCTCGCGCCCTGAGTCGCCGTCATTCTTCGGCGGCGGCGCAGCGCGCACGAGTAGCGCAAGCCCGATGCCGTACTACCCCAACAGCGGCGGCTCGTTCTACGGCGGCGCGAGCGGGCCCGCGTCGACCTACCTCGGCGTGTCGGGCTACGGCTCGACGATGCGCAGTGGGCCGAAACGCACGTTTCAGAGTAACCTCCTGGTGGGCCCCGTCGATAAGCCGTGGAAGGACGCCAAGGATCCGTGGACGCGTGTGGCGTGGTGGATCACGGTCGTACTCTGGTTTGCGGGTATAGCGGGTGCGGTGAGTTGCGCGACGCGTGTGTGTGTCGGTGGGTGGGCTGGGCTGATGCTGGAGTTTTTTTTGTAAGGCTGTGCTCTCGTTCTTTGCGTACCGCGATACGCCGTCCGTGGGCAAGGTCTGTCTGTCGTTCAATGAAGAGTTCACCGGTGCGGCTTGGATTTCCCTTATTCCTTGCGCCGTGTCTGGGCTGACGAAAGTGCGTGCAGACCCGAACCTGGGCCAATGGACAAAGGAGGTCGGTGTCGGCGGTTACGGTACCGGCGGGTTCGAATGGACGACGGCGAGCGACAAGAACCTCAAAGTCTCTGGCGGCAAACTGTACATCGTACCCGTACGTCCTGCTCTCTCTCTCTCTCTCTGCTGCTGCTAAGGTTGATACTGATGCGACTAATAGACGCTCACGCGCGACTCGGAGGGCATCAGCCAAGACCTGATCCTGTCCGGCACGTCCAAGGAGATCGACGGATGCACAAAGGACACCGACTCGACGGCGTACTTCAAGGACAAGCCCCTCGGCTCGGCTGCCGGGTTGCGTAAACGCGATGCGGGGACGGGTTTCGTGAAGCGCGCGATGGATATGGCGAGTGCGCCGTTCGATGGTCTGAAGGTGCTTTTTTTTTTTTTCTCTCGCTCTCTCTCCTTCGCGTTGTAAGTGCAGGTCGCTGATGTTGTGTGGTAGCGTGCGGTGTCGTATGAGCTTGGGGCGCGCACGAATGCGAGGAACGCGGATCCGGCGGGCGATATGGCGTCGTATGGCTTGCATTTGGAGAAGCGTCAGAGAACTGGCACTGGCACTGGCACCGGAACTGGCACTGGTACCGGTACTGGAACAGGTACTGGAACTGGAACTGGCACTGGAACGGGTACTGGAACTGGAACTGGAACCGGAACTGGGACGGGTACTACTACAGGCGATGATACCTCCGGTGCAAATGGTGTCACCGCTGGTGCGGCTGGTGGTGCTGCGAATGGTGCGTCTGCATGAGCTCCGCACCGAGTCTACTACGAACT